GCTGAACACAGAAGACACAGTAGTATTGGCTCCCTTTGTTAGATTTGACAGCAGATCTATACAAGAGACGAGAAATCCCTGCAGGTCAATCTGATAATAACAAATACTTATGTGCCAGATCACACTGGTCAGTAAGTTTGACCACCTGGTGGTATGAGGTCAATAGACTGTACTACAAAGGTCCAGTGGTCACTGCTTCAGTCTTTATAGCCGCTGCCTGTCATGTAATGTAAGTCTTCCTGGTGTTAGATTTCCTAGATAATATCATATACAGGGAAGTCTGACCAGTGGGCCCTGAGGGGTCAGAAGGTGTGCTGGTCAGTGTACATAGGGAGATCAGACCAGTGTTAGTAGGGGTTATTAGCATGTTAATGGACTGTTAGTGAGAATTATATATATATAAACAGTACTTCAGCAAATATACTTCAGGGTAGAAATCAGCATACAATATGTGGATGTACAGCAGATTTACTGCTTAGTTAACTTAATGTGATAGCTTTTACTAAAACTTATACTGGTTATATAATGGCATGTACCATATTCGCCTTAGTTGGCGCCCCTCCCATTTTTTTGGCACTTATTGAAATGATATAAGCACCTTGCTGCTTAACACCTTCCATTCTTGCCATTATAGTATACTACATGAATATACACTTACTTTATTTATCCAGTAATATACACTTACTGTATTTATCCAGTAATAACCCCATGTCTGGGAATAAGCCCATCCATTTCAAATACAGTTCAGTAGAAACACTAACAGGTGCTTTTTCATTTTCCTGCAATAAGCCCACCCCCTACTTTGAGTCAAGAGTTTAAGTGTTGGCCCCGGCCCTGGTCTTCTTTCAGAATAAATATGGTTATCTCAAACCAAACAGTCTTGCAATTTCCCAAAGTTTTAGGGGGGGGGGGGGGGGATGTTCTCCCTGGAAATGTGTCTGACTGTTACTCACCTTTACAGCAACTGACAAAACCAATGTTTTGTTATCTTAATAAGTGCCCCCTTCAACCAATTTTTAAAGTACCATGGGTGCTAATTACAGTGAATAAGGTACTTGATTAATAAACTGTCTGTGTACCTCCACTGATGATGATGTAGTGTAAAGTACTGTGGAGATAAGAGGTTTATGCTCCGACTAGAACACTCAGGTAGTAATTATAGGTTTACTTATACTAGTGGTAGGTCTAATTGACTGTTGATGTACAATTAATTGGTAGGTAACATGTACCTTTATACCAATGGTCTTTACAGCAATATAATGCTGTAGTGATACCCAAAATAACTTATCCCAGATCACCCCTTGGTCTTTATAGATATTGTGTAATATGAATGTTGGTACATGTTCATGGATTTGCCAATATAAATAAGTTTTTAGATTCCATTTTTTTCTTCTTTTGTGTATGCAATGGACTGAAGAGTTAGACTTCAAATTAGCAATATACTGTGTGCTGTAAAGATGGATTGTTGAACTAAATTGCATTAGGCAGTATAGAGCTGGTCTATATATAGGTCAGTGTGTTGGTCTCTTACTGATATACATAAATGCAATACATAATTGTCAGGAGTTTTTAAACACAGGGACACAGGTATATTACATCATTAGGGGTGGGCTTTTTTTTACACAGTTTTGATCTAAATGCTTAAAACAAATCCAATTCAGGCGCAAACAAACCCTCTAAGTTCTGTAACTTTTCAGGTCCCTGTGATTTTTAAAACATGACTGTCGCTCATTATACAGAGACAACTTTAAAACTTTGCAAACGTGACTTTTTTTTAAAATAAAAAATCAATAAGCAACTGTCCTGACGAGATATTATCTTGATTTGAAAATACCACAACTCCACTGTATTTTTCTCATTGTGAAGAAAACAACATGAGAAGATAAATAATGTGAACATCTTCGGTGTGTTTTGTGTCTATATTGCTATCTATCTCTGACAGATCTGACAGGCTTCAGTGGGTGTTCGGTATGTATACACATACCTACACACATATGTACATATATATACTGTGTACCTGTAAGGTGTGCTCAGGTATGTCGTAAACACACCTCTGACCTACGGATTTATCTTATTTTACATTTATTCAAACAAAAGCCATGCGGTACTATATATAAACATATGCAGTATTGTGTGATGTCCTAATTAAATGGTTGTAATCCATAACCACATGGACGATCAAGCTTCCTCCATTCCTTCAATCCCCTTTAAAGTAAATTTTCGAACAACTAAAATACATAAGAGCCACAGATACATTTGTGGTATATGTACCCCTTCCAAAGGACATCACATTCTGTAAAACACAAATGAGCTTATATAATCTTGGCGGCTTACGAGTTATCACTGAAAAAGTGTCATACAAAACATATATTACAACTCGCAGACACTTAACGCACAGTTATAGGGTACTTTTATTTTACACTTTGTTTTGAATTGGGAGGTTATTTGATTTTCTTAATGGTTTCAAGTTATGAGGCAAAAATGTATTCATAATCACTTTGCAAGAGAGATAACCAGTTACTCCTAGTCGATGTATTTATATTCTTTGCATGACTTCAGGGTCAGCAATGGATCAATGTCTACTCACATCGCGTGCATGTTAGGTGTGTATATGAGTGTATGATTGTGTATACATGTACAGGACCACCTGGTATAAAGCAATCCACTGCAGGTCAGCTGTATGTTTTACTACTGAAAGATCAACTAGCTTCCCCTACTATTTGTGAGACTTTGGGTGGAAAATTAATATATTGTTACATAAACAATAATCATTTGTGATTTTTTTGGTGGAATTTCGTTGTACGTCATATGTGTCTGATTGAAAGCAGAACAGTGTTCATTCTGAACATATGTCCTAGTCCCTATTTGTAAGGCCAACATTGACAGGGAGTCCTGACAGATAATGTCATACAAATGTAAGAAGTCAACCAGATATATTATATTTAAAAGTTGCATGTCCAGTAGCAATCATCTGTGACAATATTTACACTGAAAACTAAAGCATTGGTTTTCATTTATGTAATAAATAAATAAAAGAATATTGAAAAGAGTAAAAAAAAATAAAAAAATCACCAATTTAAAAAAAAAAAGCATAGAATTCTTTGAAAAGACATATTAATTACATTGTTTTTTTCTTATAATTATTAATTATTTAGTAAGTTATTTAAAACTATTTCTAAACAGATTTGTATGTGGTAGAAAGCATCTGATTCCGTGGTAGAAGTTAGTAAGAACATGCACGTATGCCACCTACCAGAGATTTATAGTTCTGTAAAATGCTTCTACGGTTTAGAAGTCTTACCAGTAACAGGATGGATCTAACTTCTCGCCTGATTTATTGCTGTGGGTAAGAGGCTGTAGCAAAATCCTATTTATTAGGCTATATCCCGTATTTTCTACCGATCATGTGATTTTACCTGTGGCAAGATTTGTTTACTCTACCTGGTGGATATTTTTAGCTTTTCTAAGGAATTCTGGGATGTGTGTGTGTGATGTCATAGGCTCATACGGCGAGTTGTCCCCATGTAGAGAAATTTTGTTACACATAGGTTTTTAGACAAGTATATACCAGGTAAGTGCTACTTCTGATTTTGATATGCTTAATTTTAAGTTTATTTAACGAACAAGATGATACACATGTCCATCTAGTTTGATTTCCATGACAGGATCTCCAGCGTAATGTGACCCAGATATTATTGGGATTTTTGAATGTGCTATGGCGGTAGCCATGCAGAGTACCCCGATTTACGCAAATCGGGTTCCGGTTTGAGAGTTTATGGACATGGTATTCTTTTTAAAGTGTACCTTTGAGCTGGATGTATTTATTTGGACAACTGACAGGCTAGACTGTTAGCGTTTACGACTGTAAGTGTGTGTATTGTTTACGCACGGTGTCGGGTATTTTAGCCTGTTCACCAGACATACTTGGGGCACGCCACGGGGAATTACCAACCGGCGACAGCTGATTGAGTGTTTATTGCAATTATTCAACCATTGTCTACAGTCGGGACTGAATGTGTGAAGTTTATAACCGAACGAAAATAGCAGGAAATGTACATGTATGCACAAGAGGTGATGGATTAACATACAAAGTTAACCTTTTCGGTGTGGAAAGGTCATTCACGAAATGGGTGTAAAAAGTGTGGAACTCCATATTTTGAACTGGCGGGCACCTGCTTTCACTATCGTATAAGTTGTACCATTGTAGAAGAGAGGATTTACGATACAATGTTGAACAATATATAACAATTGTCTGTGGTACACACTGGTCTTCTAGTCTACACTATAGTATGAATACACAACCAATACACACATTGTGAGACAATGTTTATGTATTACAAATTATGTAATGTTTATATATATATATATAGTTTGTTTATCTGAAGAATCTGACAACAACGAAAAAAGGGAGAGAAATTTGCATTGATGTTTATACCATTTAATGTCACTTTTTTATTAAATTGTAAAATTGGTACAAAGTTATCCTTTTAGGGATCAGTCTAGGTTTTAGGGAAATCTACTCATTTTCAAATTTGGAGGAAATTAAAAAATTTGATGCAATGCTCTAGCGTCGTGAAGGTAAAAGATAAATGTTTTGTTTGACATACATGTGTGCAGTATATTTCAATTTATAAACAGTTTTAAGCTTTAAAATGTTGTTTAAATTATGTGAAGAAAATGTAAATATGCAGTATTATGCATTTTTACTGAAATATTCTGAAGAAAAAAACACTAATTTCTTATTAAAATAGGGAAATTGCGAACAGCTTCTGGGAGTGCATGGGCCAGGGTCAAAATCTTCAAAGTATCAAACTGTCATCTCATGGTTATAATTTCAACAGTAGTGAATCAAGTCTAGATTGATCCCAGAAACTAGGCCTTTATATATTGGAAGAAAGATTTAAAAACAATGCTTTGCATGAATTACTTTAAATATCTTCTAACTGCAATTTCATAAAATAATAGAATTTTCAATAAAACTGACATTTATATTTTCACAGGACAAAGAAACTGAGAAGCCCAAAAGTAAATCCAAAGTAGAGCGCCGCTCCAAACCAACAGGCAAGATGGTGATGTGTCGGGTCACCTTGCTTGATGCTTCCACTCTGGAAATTGAGCTAGATGTAAGTATTACTTGGATAAGACAATTTACAAATACCTAAAAGTTTCTAGNGATATTTCGTAGTATAGACCAAGGAAGGTATTGCAATGCATGTCACACTGTATTATAACAGGAAAAAGTGAATAGCTAACAGTCATTTCAGTTACACTGTGAAGTTAAATTTGCAAGATTAAAATCTTCAAACAGATACATAAAAACATGCATTTGCAAAAATAAAATCCAATGCTGCAAAAGCCAGAAATTGTTTAGAAACAGACATTTTTGTATTGCAATACAATATTCCTGTGTATTGGCAATAACAATATACCTGTTTTCTGAAACATTGTGACAGCCCTGGTTAGAATGTACTGATCATTTGGTCCGGGGTCTGACATTGTCTACCAATTTGGAATCAATTAATTTCTGTTTAGTCTGTCAAAGCTGTAATGAATATGTTATAATTGTGAGAATCTGTTTACCATATTTCTGTCAGAAATAAGAATTTACTTCATTTCATGAACTCATACTAGATAAATCTTTATCAGATAAATTATGGGAAATGCATTGAAAAGTGTATGCATTTGAATTGTGAGTTATTGAAGCAGGATTATAATAACAATAGGTTTTCCACAAAACCATGGTAGAGATGATGTGGTTACAACATGTCTGACCTTCGAGGCTTGGCTAGAATGCATCTATTATGCATAGGTATATAAATGAATTGTCATAAGGATAGGGTAGATGTATTGTATGCGAAGATTACTGTTTGCAAATGCATATGAAATATAAAATTAAAGTGTAAGTTGGATACCTTTTGAAATTGTATAATCAATTTGAATATAACTATATATATGTTGTTTTAATACATTATATGTACTGAATCCTGTCTATAAACAAATTTTTCTATTTGTGTGTTACAGAAAGGAGCTAACGCCCAGGTGTTATTCGATAAAGTCTGTTCACAACTCAAGCTTGAAGAAGTAGAATATTTTGGACTGACCTACATAGACAAGGATATAAAGGTAAGTCCCAAAAGCTGGAAACAATGCCTTCCATAACTTAAGTACTTCCACCTTGAAACAAACTGGATTCTAGATATGGAAAAACAAACTGGACTCTAGATATGGAAAAACAAACTGGACTCTAGATATGGAAAAACAAACTGGACTCTAGATATGGAAAAACAAACTCGACTCTAGATATGGAAAAACAAACTCGACTCTAGATATGGAAAAACAAACTCGACTCTAGATATGGAAAAACAAACTCGACTCTAGATATGGAAAAACAAACTCGACTCTAGATATGGAAAAACAAACTCGACTCTAGATATGGAAAAACAAACTCGACTCTAGATTTTGAAAAACAAACTCGACTCTAGATTTTGAAAAACAAACTCGACTCTAGATATGGAAAAACAAACTCGACTCTAGATATGGAAAAACAAACTCGACTCTAGATATGGAAAAACAAACTCGACTCTAGATTTTGAAAAACAAACTCGACTCTAGATTTTGAAAAACAAACTCGACTCTAGATATGGAAAAACAAACTCGACTCTAGATATGGAAAAAAATGTTTTTCGACTGTCTTGAGCATTGACTTACAGTTAATTTTCCATTTATGCTTCTTGTTGATAATTGAGCTCAAGGTTGATGACTGAAAATGTGTAATTTTCACCACACATATATTGGTCTCCTACCTCCTCTTGATCGATACATCAAATTCATCAACTGTTGAAAAATATATATCATATGTATAGTTATCAGTATCAATAAGTATTTTTCAACAACAGACAAATTTGTTATGAAATGACAGCGAGCTAAATGTTTACAAATCAAGATGAAGATTACGATTTATATTTACTTACATTTGTCCATTGTCGTTTCAGTATTGGTTGACTGCAGACAAGAAAATTGCTAAACAGTTGAAAGGTAAGTACATCAGGACAGTTATAATTGGGACAGGTTACTGAGAGATGCTGTATAATAACAGATAGCAATCTTTGCAAATCCAGTCCTGACTGGACAAATTTCATTCAGTCCAGTTAAATATTTGTTTCATCTGGTAAAAGTTTCCAGTAACAATGAAGGTAAACAATTTAAGTCTGAACATTCGGCCTGGTAAAGACTGGATAGCCTTGTGTACAGGGGGTGTTACACAGCGGTACAGCTAAAGTAGGATTAAGTGGGAACTACAGCACTGTCCTTTATACACAGGAACTTACTTATAAGACAGGTATATGGTATAGGGAGGTGGGCATCATGACCTTTATAGACAGGTATATGGTATAGGGAGGTGGGCATCATGACCTTTATAGACAGGTATATGATATAGGGAGGTGGGCATCATGGCCTTTATAGACAGGTATTAGCTTCAAAGTTTATACAGTTATTTGCTATAAAAAAGATGACGTATATATATTTGCTATACTGATGCTATTAGCTAATACTCTTTAGAGTCAATTAAAAGCCTTTAATGTAAAGGCATAGCTGACTTTTAGCTTTTGGTAGGATAAGGGTAGAATTTTAAATATTGCTGTAGTATTTACCATTCCTCACTTCTGTCAATTCCTTTCACCCGTTGCCTTTTTCTAATTCAAAATTCTACATTCCAAAAAAGTATGATCTCTAAATGTCAGATATTTGGTTATAAATTAAAGGGGTAGGAGTTTCTCAGGTGTCTTGAAATACAAGCTCGATTTATATGCATGTAAGGGATATTAAGCTCTGTAAAACCTGGTCGTGAATAACTGAAATAATGGCGACATGACTCAGATAATCTTTCTATCCGGTAATACTCATGTTTTCTATTCACAAGTATCTCCCAAGTTCATTATAACTTACTCTAGAGCATGCACACAAACAGGTGTTGACCATGTAGTATACTCTGATCATGTCTGCAAAAATGCACCATCAGTATCAGCATGTATAATCATCAGTTACATACATCAGACACCTGGTTTACCAAACCTGTAAGTATGTGCAGGTGTACTTATTCGTGGTTATAAAGATCAACCACAAGAAAGACTTGGCCTTGCTTATTTTCCAAATATCTGGTGTGACGGATTGTCATTATCTGTTGTTATATTGTCATAACATTCCATAGAAATACACATATGACAGACACTTACAGAAAAGTTGCTCTAAATGCCCTTTAAATTGAGACATGTATTTGGTAGAGTCAAATTGAATGTATAATTTACAAGTTTGTCCTATAATTCCCTCTGTTATAAACTCTATCCTACATTTTAAAACCTTGATATGAATACCCATCATTTCATATTTAACTTTGCTTACCACCAAAACTTCTTAAGGTTTCTCAATTTTTTTTCCTCAAAAATCCTTTCTACATCCCCTTGTTGCATTGCCAAACCAGTTAATAAGACAAAACAATCTATGGACAAAACATTCACTTGATGCATCGCCAAACCAATTAAATAAATGCCAAAACTCTATGGACAAATAGTGCCAGTATAAAATGTGATCACCTATACAAAGTGGATATATGAAAATCCATTCAACTTCAGGTAAGGCTGATTTCAGCTTGATATAAGACATCTGTTAGGTAGAGATATCCTTCTGGGTCTGAAGGAAGCATTGTCTGGTCACTCAGCCATAACCTGACCATGGCCACTGGTCATCAGATGACCCGACCCCACTTCCCCTATCATTAGAGGTGATGACAGGAAGCTAGTGGTTAGTCAAGCCAGACCAGTTGTAGGCTAGAGTTATATAGCTATTCATGTGAGGAAGGTCCTGTTGTAAGACTTGATGGCTTTCTAACTGATAAGCCTTTCCAATCTGTTGATAAAATTAGATTTTCTTTGTGAGATATATTGAGGTATTAGTCCCATCTCTAGTTTCTGTCAACAAGACGGGAAGCCTATATATATAGCTATTTGTCCATAAACGTGGAACCTGTGGTCTATCTCTTACGCAGGAAAGGTAGCCAATTGAGATTTAAATCCATCGACATTCAAGGTCATTGTATTGTAAAGGGGTATTGACCTTTCAGTATGAGTGGAGTCCACTATGTAATTGACCAGGCCAAACTATCATTACCTTATGTAAATGTGAAGTGGTAATTTATTATGTTGGGTCTGTCAGTGACACACCTGAATCGGCTATATACAAGGACATGAATTACGGTTATATCAAATGAAATACCTTTATACAAGGTTACAGCATTAAAAAGTCTTCCTTTTAAAGCCACAAGTTAATATGCTAATGAAGCTAGTGGTTATTTCTTGTTCTTACCAATTCTTTCATTATATCTTAACCTTTCTGTCCTACTTGTCAACTTGGCCATCAACTTAAAATAATATGCCAGATGCATCCGTGTCTTTTATTTCAAAAGTTTTTTAAGTTTTTATATTGCAAGTTTTCTGTCAAATAATCAATACCATATTCTATCTACAAAACACTTAATTCCTAATAAGTGTTCCTTATCTTTTCAATTGGTCTGAGCATTCCGTCTTTTCAATCTTACTTGCAGAAAGTGCTTATTATGGTTAAATGAAATTTCGGAATGTTCTATGATTCTAATTTTCCCTAACTCCTAATAAGTACCTAGGTCAAATACAAGACATATTTTAAGTTTGTTTGTAAAAATATCTTCACAGTATGAATAATCAATTTTCATACACTAACAAATGTACCTTTTGTCAAAGGGCATATGGTTATATGGTCAATGATAGTATAGTCAAATATTAACATAAAGGACATAGGAAAAAAGTGGAATCTTGCATTAAACTTAACTTTGAAAATGAACTAAGAATATGCCCTGCAATACAAATTGTACACGCTAGACAGTTTGAATAATAAATAAAAGATGTTGTGTTTTAAGTTTTTTCCAAGTTCACATTTATGAAGTTCGACTTTCTACTGTGATTCGTTTTTAACAACAAAAAAATGTTCATTTCAGGAGGATGTAGGTGGGTGTTCGAGTTTGCAGTTAAATTTTATCCTCCAGAACCATCCCACTTGACAGAGGATATCACAAGGTAAGACTCTTACTTGCTAAACCTGCCATTTATAACTGCAGATATCACTTGACAATGATGATCCATCATTCCATATTTATTGATTTGAAATTAAATACAAGTACCAAGCAAATTTGAGAACACCGGCAATAGTGTTACTAGGACCTAAACATTGTTTGATATATTTGCACGATTGGTATTTGGATTTTGGTTCATGTTTAAGGGAAACGAAAAATAATATTCCGACAAGATGAAATAGGTCAGTGTTGCAGGGATTTCCCTATACCCCTATTGTGTCTGAATAACAGTTCATTCCAGTCCAGTTTCCCTGCTGTATTCAAATTTCAGAGTTAGAAATTCTTTGTTAAAAAAAGAAAATGCACTTTTAAGTGATTGAAGATTAAGCAGCCAAAAATTAACAAAACATACAAAAAAAACATCCGTGGACCCCATTAACATTGGTTTGAAGAAAAGTCTTTGCTGAACTTCATTTGCCATTACAAACCTGACATTTGTTTTGTCACGTCTATACAGAGATAATCTTTTAATGAACTCTATTGATATGTAAATTGTTGTTTGTAGATACCAGCTATGCCTACAGGTCAGGGTGGACTTATATAATGGAAAGTAAGTAGCTCTGCTCGTCATTTCAAACATGTAGAACTAGTTACTAGTTCTGATCATCGTCAATAGTTACCCCATCTATATGGGCTAGTATAGGAAATCAGTTTTGTCTCGCCGCCATTAAGTAGCAGAAGCAAGATTAAGGTGTTGCTTTTCCAGCGAAGGTGTCAACATAAAGCTTTTACGTTTAAGTTAGTTTCACTGAAAGTATAAGTGCTAGACAAACCAATCTTGGACTATAGATGTATCTTAGGTAGAACATTTCAACCCATGCATCAAATGCTGGATGCGGCCAACCTTTCATGGTCTATTGACTTTGTCAGCATCTCCATCAACATTAAGTTTTTGCGTTTAAGTTAGTTTCTCTGATATGTACATTGATGGTCAAAGCGAGGCACAGGCGAGATATATCAATCCAAATGGCTTGTGAATGAAAAGGAACTGTATTTGATTTGAAATTCCTTCAATAAGTAATACGGTATTTAAACGTCACCACTGAACCTTACAAGGAAACCACAATGCTTAAAAAACATTTGACACTTAAATTGTGGTTAGAGGTATTTTTTACTCTTAAAATCTTTAAACGCCAAGGGTCACAGACTATTTGAAGTGGTGTATTATAAGTAGTCCATTTAACAATCAGTAATAAAAGACACTGAAATGTAAATCAATATTGATGTATGGTGGTGGCAAATTAAATACATTTCTGGCTTCATTGAAGGAATATTTTCAGATTATTTAATTTCTAAATATACACATTAAGAAAATTTGTATTATGTTTGTAGCTAAACTATTAAATTCGGTAATAAAAGACACCGAAATGTAAATTTCATCTTCATGTATGGGGGTTGTAATTTCAAAACAATTCTGGTTTCATTGAAGAACTATTTACGAATTATTTCATATCAAAAATGTACAAATTTAGATTTAGAAAATTTTGAATTATGTTTGTAGCTAACGTATTATTACGTTTGCAGATTGCCATGTTCCACGGTGACACATGGCCTGCTCGGGTCCTACACAGTCCAGGCAGAGCTTGGTGACTATGATCCCGTCGAGTGTGCACCCGGCTACCTTGAGGAGTTTGACTTCGCACAGAAACAGACTAAAGAGCTTCTTAAAAAAATACACGAACTCCATAAAACACACAAGTATGCAATGCTTAAGATATTTTCAGGAAATGATATATTTAAACAAGCAGTAGACATAAAATAGTGAAAATGGGATCCCACTTCGGTGATCTATGATAACACTCAGATTCCTATGTAAAACCAACTGTTATATTTTATTATAAATAGGGCATCTAAACAAGAATGTATTTGACAGATCTGCACTACTCAAGTAAAAAGTATCATATTCTGGGAGAGTACGGAATTAAGCTCCTGTTGAAATCTTTACAGATATATCATTACATTTAGTAGTATGATAATAGTCTAAAGTATACACGAGGCTCTATTATAACTGACATTTAACAGAATGAGAGATGAGTTGGATTACTGAACGTCGGCCATAAAGCATGACGGTTGGGAACATGCACAGAGGCTTTTCACATGTACAGAATTATATTAAGAAAATATGTCGATGAGTCATCATTTATTTACTGATAAATTTTAATAGATTGCATCATTTGATCATTTCAGAGGTATTGATTGAGACATGTGACACATGCAAACATCAAAGACCATCTCCCATTTCAGATTACATCGCAAATATTTGTATTTTACTGTAACAGTTTGAAAACCTATATTAGCTTGGGTCATTAATTTTGTATGCAACATGTACCGTCATATACCACACTTTGTTTACACAGACTGTCATTATTGTCCAGTTCTTGGTGTATGTGTGTCTTGCAATAAATTATTTTCGTAGCTTAAAGTTGTTTGTGGGAATATTTCATAACTGTTGACATGATTAATAAAAACTGTTTGATCTACATGAAGTTTAAAAATTCCTTTGTCTATTTACAGGGGACAATCACCGGAAGAGGCGGAAATGATGTTTCTAGAAAATGCAAAGAAGTTAGCGATGTATGGTGTAGACCTTCACAAAGCTACGGTAACTAAACATCAAAAAGATTATTTTCTTTTTAAGATTCCATGATTTACATTATTTGTCAGATTTCAAACATTAAAAAAAACCCAAAAAAACGGATATTTTGCTTCATCAGGAAAGAATCAGATAATAAAAAAGTCACTTTAAAAACAAGTCTTTGAAGATTATGTTCAAGATTGCAATTTTTAAGGGATTTCAAAATAAGGACACCATGGATTTAACGTGTTGAAATTGATTTCTCCACAGGATTCAGAGAAAACAGAGATTTCGTTAGGAGTGTGTTCCAGTGGTTTGATGGTGTACAAGGACAAACTTAGGATAAACAGATTTGTGTGGCCCAAAATTCTCAAGCTGTCATACAAACGCAATAACTTCTACGTCAAAATTCGTCCAACTGAGGTAAGTATTGCTGTCGTGTCCATCTGTTGGTCACTGAATGGTGTATATATCTGATTGGCAGTGTAATAGGTCAATAACTTGTTTGTGTCTTAATTTTATTTAAAAGTATAAAAAAGGGTGTATTTTTTAAAACAAATGCAAAAGAATATGAGGAATGAATTTAAAATGTGGACATTTTTCAGCTTGTCTATTCGAAGAATAGGGGGGCTATAGCAGTACCCACGGTGTGGGCGTCCCACTTGGTTAATTTTTTAGGGCAAGCTGTGTTTTGGTGTTTAACTGAACATTTAATTAATATTACATTGTAATATGGTTACGGCAATTGCTTGGAGGTTCCTTAGCAACAAATTGGACCATAAAACACAAGTTTTTTGGAATTGGTTAAAGTTTTTGGCCAAGTTCGCCAAGTTCTACAAGTTAAAGTTTTAGGGCAAGTTCTAGTTCTTCTGAAACTACTGGCCAGATTTCAGCCAAATTTGGCAGAAAGCAGCCTTAGGGGGAAGGGGATTCAAGATTGTACAAATGAATTCCCTGACCCCCCAGGTGACAGGTGGGCAGGGCCAAAAGGGGTAAATTTGACAGTATGCCTTTAAACGATATTTCCTCCTAGACTATTTGGCAGATTTCAATATATAGTCTTTTAGCATATCAAATCATATCAAATCAAACATAACTGTGAGTTCTACATTTTAAAGTAATTCATTTATGCATATGGTAATCGTGGGGGTGGGGGTGTGGCCCAATTACTATTAGCACTTTTTACATTAATGATTTCAATAGACGAGCTATGCTGTTCTCCTACAGCTCTTGTTATATCTTCCCAATTAGAGAGACTGCTGCAGTGACTCGTCGCAAATGAAACAAACCCTAATTTTATTTCTGTTTTCCTTTTTCAGCAAGATTCATTTGAAAACATGATATGTTTTAAGTTAGCTAACCATAAAATGGCGAAGCGGTTATGGAAGACATGTGTTGAACACCACACATTTTTCAGGTAAGATTTTTAAACAGTTGTCTCCCTTTGACAAGGGGAGTGTCACTTCGTTAATTAGTACACAGATTGATATCCAAATAGTATAGATGTTTTGTAACAAGGACTGAAATTCTGCTGTCTTTGAGGAAAAATACAGAGGGAAAGAACAGTTGGTTTAGAAACTTCAATATGGTGCTGTATTTCATAACTTATAAAGGAGGCAATTTCACCAAAACTTTTAATAGAACCAAGATTTTGCAGATTGAACGTGATTTTAGTAGATATTGCTATGTTAATAGTGTTAACAGATAGTATTTTGTCACAGTAAAAAGAATATAATAGCTAAAATATTAAGTATTTGTTTCTGGTATGATTTTGTTGTAATTTCTAAGGGAATGAATAATGATTTGTTGAATTTTTTGTCTATCATTATGAAACAGCCTGATTTATTTTTGTGTATCTATTTGACAGGTTAAAAGAATCAGAACCTCCCAAGGGTGGAACTCTGTTCCCTCGCTTCAATTCCAAGTTCAGATATTCTGGTCGTACACAGAAACAGTTAAAGGACAGAACAGATCTGGTCGAGCGACCGAAGCCAGAGTTTGAAAGGACACACTTTAAGAACAAATCTATGCCATATCCAGAGAGTAAAACAGCGCAACTCGATGATAGTGATGGTAAAGATACTGTCATTTATGATCATATATATCTTAAAATAAACTACTTTATGTTTTGAAATCGGTTTAAATTATAAAAAAAAAATGCAAAAAAAATTGAAACACAATTATTGTTTAAGTGATACATTCAAAGATTCCATTTAAAAGTATTAGTGAATGTATTTATGCAAAACATATTCCTTGTAAAACAACCAGTATTTCAGTATGTGTACTGTTTCATGTCATATCCTATAATACAGATTGATATTGTTTGATAGAGACCAAGTCCTGGACCATTTAAAATTATTATGGAATATTCAAAGGTCTGTTTTATCTTTCCGTTTATGATACAAGCGATTCTGGATAAGGTTTACAAATTTATCTGATCTTAAGTTTTTTTTTAACAAAGCTTACTCTAAAACTTTGTTTGGAAATGTAAGAGCTGAGGTCTACGTCGTTGAGAAATTGAATGTCACTAAGCAAGTTTCCCTTAAGTTTCTGACAGCCATCTATCTCACATTTTATACAGATTACAGCAAGAAAAACTCTGACCATCCTCTGGATGAAAACGACAGAATGGACAAGAAGTACGGAGATAATGATCCCACTGCTAATGCTGGACCTCCTCCTTACTCCTCGCGGGAGCTGGACGAGCAGGGTCAAAGAGCTCCAGGAGACCAGTCGCATGCTGACCGCCCCAGCAGACCTCCAGGTGATGAGTCGGAGGACAGACTTGACCATGAAAAAGACAAGGTAGGGTCTGTGGGACATGACACTTGCGTCAAAACGAGTACCCTGTTTAAGGAGCATCAGACTATCTCCTATTTAAGGAGCAGTGTCCAGATATCTTATTACTTACAGTGTAAATTTTACAGATATATTTTATTGAATAACTTTCAAAAAAGATTGGCAAATTAGAAATTTTCTATTATTAGATAGAAATCTGCTCTGTGATACATGTAACTTCACGGACTGTGGTGAATGAACCAATTTGGTCATGGGCAGATAACCCTGCCTTTTTTTCCAGAATCGACTTTCATCTCACTGTAGTGGTGTTTTCAAATATTTATTAATGTTTCTTGTTTCAAGGTATTATTACACTAGATATGAAAAGAACCTTATTAAAATGCATTAATTTGTGGTTTCAGACAAATCAGTTTTTACAAACATGGTTATTTTTGTGGTAAATATACCAGGTATTCTTTGGGCTTTTTCAAATTGTCGACTGTAGCCTTTGTTTTAACTCATTCACCCCTGAAATTTCATAATGAACTATTCCAACCTTTGAATCGGAAGAATTCAAATGTGTCTTTAGGGGTGAATGAGTTAAAGGACACACTTTTTATGCCATATCCAGAAAGTAAAATATAAAAGTTAACACCCCCAAAAGTGATGAGTTGAAACTTAAAATCATGTACATAAATATTAGTTTACTGCTTCAAGTAAAGGATGCAAAAAATTGTTTTCTCTTAACAAGTATTAGTTAATAGTGTTTTGATTTTTCCATCCAGGCTGTTACTGTGATGGCCCCTGATGGTACTGCAGATGTCGCAGAACTAGATGCAGGTGTGGGTCTAACGAATGTTGGCAGGAAGAGCAAGCGCTCCAAGGAGGAAAAGGAACGAGAGAAACGAGAAAAGGAAGAAGAAAAGAGACGGAAAAAGGAAGAGGAAAAGGAAAGAAAACGTCTAGAAAAAGAGAGAAAGAAGAAAGAAAAAGAAGGCAATAAATCAACGTCAGAAGATAGAAGAGATAATTTAGTGAGTATACGTATAGATTAGTTTCTGTTGCTTATTGTTTTTGCAGAGCTGAAATCGCGGCCTTGATCACAATTGCCAAACCTGAATATAAAACATAGACTTCACAGGTCATGCTGTTTGTTATACTCATATCATTTCATTGTGACTAGGAGTAATTTCAGAATAAGTTATTGGGTAAAGAGCCAAAAATGTGTTGTATAAATGTAGAAGAAATAACAAATTCAGGAGGAAAAATAACGTTCATGGCCTGAATACAGTCTAGTAGAGAAATAGTTAGCTGTCAGACTCAATTTACAAGATGACATGGATAGCAATAGGGAATTTTTCATCAGGAAATTGAATGAACATGTAAATGGATATATCAAGTTGATATTGGTTATTATAGTGACAAGATTTTTTCTTCAGTTTGAGTCTTTCACCTGTCTCAACAAACAATGCAAATATCTCTACATGTCTTTACAAACAATGCAAA